CTTTTCTATTTTTTTTCCTTTTTAGAACCTTTTATATATACCTATATATATATATTATCTTATTTAAGATACTATATCCTATAATTAACCTTAATTTATTTAAAAAGGCTATTATTTAATATATAGACTTATATCTTATATATTAGAAGATTTATAATATCTTATAAGATAACTATAGTTATAATATTTACCTTTAAATATTATAATACTTTTTATAAACTAACTATATTTACTTATAAGTATAAATAAATAATTAAGATAAACTTACTAAATATATCTAAATATTATATTTTACTTAAAACCTTACTAATTTTAATATTTATAAGTAACTACTTAATAAAGGTTTCTAATTATTACTATTTTAAGTTAGCTTAATCTATTACTAGTAAAATATATACTAATAATAAGATATTATATATTAAGATATTATATAAAAGTAAGTATAAGTATATCTTTAGAATAATTTTATTACTAAGTAGTATATAATTAATAATAGCTAAATATTCCTTATAGTATATATATATAAGGCTAGTATTAATATTAACTATAATACTTTATATAAGGTTTATTATAAGGTATTCTTTAAAAACCTTTAAGATTATTAAAAATAGGTAGAAATACTATATATAGACTTTAAAACCTATAGTCTTAATTAGATTTAGTCTATTAATAGCTATAAAAAGCTATAGCTATAAGGGTTTAAGATTTATATAGGAATTAATATATATTTATATTATATTACTTAGTTCTATATTAGTATTTTTATAATAACTTTATAAAGTATTATATAGTAATATATTACCTTATTAAATATATAAAAGATAATACCTACTTAATTATAATCTAATTATAGTAATAAGACTATTATTATTACTAGGCTATACTAGTTTCTCTTTTAAAATAATATATTAGTATAATACTAAACTTATAATAATACTAATAAGTTATAATACTCTTAAAAGCTATAAAGAATATCTTAGGAGTTTATATTTATAAAAGTATAGTTATATAGCTAAAGTATTTATAATATATATATTAAAGAATAGTAGTACTTCTTAAGTATTCCTATTAAATACTAATAAGTAAGTAATTATTAATAACTATAAATATATATATTAATATAACTATTTAGATATATTTCTTTATACTTAATAACTATAGCTTATTCTTTACTAATAATCTTATAAATAAGATTATTATTCTCTATTTATATATACTATTAATTTAAAAAGACCTTTATACTTTTATATATAAATAAAATATCTATTATATATATATATAAGAAAATAAAATTACTAGTTAACTAAATATTTTATATTATAACCTTAGCTATAATATTAAGCTAAATTATAAATTCTTATTACTTATTAATAATATAGAAGTATTAAACTTTATTTTTAAAATATTAAATAATACTATTAATATATACTTATTATAAGTTATATATTAAATCTATAATAGGATTATTTAGTATAAGTTTAGTAGTTTATTAGAGGTAGGTAACCTAGAAATACCTCTTTTTCTTATTTACTTATACTTATATAAATAACTTAATTAGTATTAAGTTAAAAGAACTCTTCTTAAATTAGCCTTATTAAAGCTAGTTATTAATACTTATATAAGGCTTAATAAATTATTATTATATAAGGATATTACTATTAATATAATTTAAAAGCTTATTATAAGGGAATAACCCTTTTTTTTATTTTCTTTATTTTTATTTTTTTTTTCCTATTTTTATATTTAAAATATAAAATATAAAATAAATAATAGTATATAATATTTATCCTTTTAATATTTACTTCTTTATATAAATTAAAAAAACCCTTTTATCTTTTAGTATTATTAGTATATCCTCTTATATAATAGTACTAGTAATATTACTCTCTATTTTACTAACTACTTTATTTATAAGCTCTATTAAGCTAGGTAAATTATTAGTAATAAAAGGAGCTTATATAATTTCTTATTTAATATTAAGCTTTTAATCTAATATATTTAGCCTTTAAGTTATTACTTTCTTTATTAATAGCTTTATTTTATAGAATAAAGCTTATAAATTAGTATAAACCTTCTTTACTATATATAAATCTATTATTAGTTATTTTTAATTATCTAGATATATTATTAAAAAATTAATTATAATCTTCTTATCTAATTAATTATACCTAAGTATAATTAAAAGCCTTTTAATTATTATTATTTACTAAATACTAGTATAATAATTAATAATACTTAAAGGGAATTCTAAGATAATTATAGCCTTAACTTCCTACTCTTTATCTAGTAATACTAATAATATAGAATTAATACTATTTAATATAATTAATAATAGTATATCTCTATATAATTAATATTTAAACTATTATTATTATACGCCTAGAATTAATATATACTTATAGTAAGCCTATAATATTAATAAAATTAATAAAAAGTAGGTAAGAAATAAAATAATATTAGGCCTAGCTTAAAAATAATACTAAATAAGAGCTATACTATAGTTAAGGTAGGTAGTAGTAAAAAGACTACTAGAAATATATTTAAATATATTAAGACTAATAAGACTTAACTAACTAAACCTAAAGTAATACCTATTTAAAAGAAACCTAAAACCTAGTTAATTATTATAAAAAAACTCCTCTTCTTAGTAAATAAAGATAATAAGCCTTAAATAAAAGCCTTTTTAGAATAGTTATAAGTATATACTAGCTTTAAGCTAAGACTACTTATAACTATTAAAGTAATCTAGAATATTATAAAGAAGATAATTATATAGCTAGGCTTTATATTAAAAAAGACCTATATAGATATAGTATAAAGAAGAACCTAAAGAGATACTTAAATAAAGCTAGTCTTAGCCTAGTATAATAAGGAACTAATTATTAATATTAAAAACTATTAGGCTAAGGTATAGGCTATAAAGCTAATAAAGGTAGTTATAGTAATAAACTAATCCCTTTAAGAGGATATTATAGTAACTACCTACTAGCTCCTATCTAGAGATATAGTACTCTTATTTTATTAAAATATAAAGGTATTTATAAATAATATATACTAGGTTAAAAATATATTTAGGCTAAAAGTATAGCTATTTTATTATATATATTTAATAATAATAAAAGGTATACCTTTAGCTAAAATACTAAATAATATTATTAACTTTATTACTATATTAATAGTATTTAATAAAACTAATATAGTTATAACTAAAGTATATTACCTTTAGGTTAAATTTAATATAAAGGTATTATTAATTATTAGTATTTATAATATAACTATAGTTAACTAATTATACTAATAAGGTATTTACTTTAATTTATAGGTATTTAAGTATAAACCCTATATAGAATTAGTCTAGACTACTTAGTACTATAAATACTATAGGTTTAAATATATTATATAATTCTATATAATAAAGATAAATAAGTATAACTAATATATAGGCTAAGCCTATACTAATATAAAGGTATACCTAGCTACTATTAATATATTAAAAGAATTATATATTAACTATAAAGAAAGGTACTTAGTATAGTCTAGGGACTACCCTATATAGTAGGAGTACTAGATTTAGGCTTAGGAAGCTTATTACTTTTAGCCTACTTAG